ATCCGTGATTGCCCGCAACGACGCTTGCGAGGGTTTTGTGTTTTGGAGGTTGTTGAGGAGTGGAAGTTCGGGCTCTTTCCACGGCATGTTACAAGTATTTGGCACATTCATGCCAAAGCCCAAGACTTGGCCGGAACTGACGTCATCACACACCTGATTTGTGCGACACTTAGCCGAATGTAGCCGGAGACTATTATTTGTGCTGGTATGTCGTTGAGTCACAAGAAGTATATTGCCGGCGTTTATTGGGTCCAGTGTAGCATGTGGACACGGACCTTAGCCCTGCAGAAGCAGTGTGGATGTTGGGCCCACTCTAGCGGGAGCCCCTCTGCAAAGTAAAGTTTCCCGGCCATACAGGATTTCAGGACTTCCGGCAGGTCCTGTATACGTTACAGTCACATTTTTCCGGGCGTCGTAAGAATGTTCATGTGGCACGGCTTCAAAATCAATCTCCAGACGTTTCGCCTTCCAAGGGCTGCCGGGGGAGTCGCTGTTCAGCAGTAAGGATATTGGACGAACCATTCAGCCGAATCATGCTTTGCAAAGGGACCTCGGGTGTTTACTTCCTCCTGAAAAGGAATGCGCACGTGTTTTTTGCGGAGTAACGTAGTGCTGTACGGAGATGCTGGTCGTTCTACATCGTGCACTGAGGCAGGATATGGAAGGCAGCGACGAGATGTTGAAATGTAGCCATTCTATCCTGTCGTTCCGTTTGCGCTATCAGGCGTGAAGAGTGTGGAGGACTCGCTGGTCGGGTCAGCTTGCAGTGGTGGGTTCAAAATGCTGTGAGTGCAGGTTTTGCCTCGTGTTTGCAGGAACATTTTGGAAAGGAAGAAAAGGAGGTGGAGGAGGAGGTGGAGGAAGAGGAAGAAGAGGAGGAGGAGGAGGAAGAAGAGGAAGAGGAAGAAGACGAGGAAGAGGGCGATGATGCCGAGGAGGATGCCAGAGTGGGCACCTCAGCCGATGCACCGAAAAAACTGTCGCACCGCATCGCTTCACGCTGGCAGATCCTTTTCCAGCTGGAGGAGCTCGGGAGACAGTTAGGTGGCTTTGAGCTGCTGCAGTTTCAGAGGATAGAGGCCGCGGGAATGAGCCCATTGCGGTGTCACCATGGGCACCCTCTACAGTTTCAGGACATGTGCGCCATTATCCACTGCCTGCAGCCCAGTCAACAACAGGAGCATAGTGTAAGCGGAGTGTTCGACTACTGTGTTGAACAGAAACTTCGAGGCACTGAGAAACGCCTCAAAAAGGCTTACTTGGCAGCACTTGGAGGCCGTTCCCGCATTGATGCGAGCACTGGTTGGTGTACATCTCTGTGTCTCTGTGATTCTCTGTGTCTGTGTGTGTGTGTGTGTTTGTTTGCGTGGGCTTCACTAGCACAAGTGAGACGGGGATCACTCCCATACCACAAACTCGTTGCGGCTGCTGTTGGCAAGTGTTCGCCCCATGACACGTCGCAGCCATGAAGAGCGCGGGATCGCTGACACTTTTTTCTTCTCTTGTAACTCTATATGCGTGAAGCCAGGCAGTTTTCCATTACAAGCGTGTGTGTGTGTGTGTGTGTGTGGGGTCCGTGACTGTTTTCTGCCACGGTCTGTGTGGGGTTTTGTGTACTGTTTCGCAGAGCGACTCTACATGCCGTGAGGACCCCCAGTGTTTCCGGGCCACAGTGCCCGCTTCTGCGTCTGCGGAGGCATCTTGAAATTTGTTGTGGAACAATCCAATCCAAAAAGTAGCCAGACAGTCATGAGCAGTAGAAAGGTGGGAGGTTTTCTTGTAAGGGATCGGGAACATGTCAGCGCATCGAAGCGGTGATGCAGCAGGTGCTCGGCTTCGAGAAGGCTCGCTAAGGACTACTAGTTTAATGGGCACAGGAAAATGCAGCTGCTGAAGCTCGGACAGACGGCAGATAATCAGAGCACGTGCCTGGCAGCCTGCAGCAGGTCGAAGCCGTGGAAGATGCAGGCTTCTGCAACAGTGGGGTTTGCCTGTAGGCGGATGCCAAGAGCAAAAAGATGAGAGAGTGCGACGCTCAATGATTGTGTTGAGAACCGAGACATCCACACATCGCATGTGCCGTGCTGAGGACACGAGCCCAAGGTGCTCGTCTGGCCTGAATCAGCGAAGAAAAGCTTCCTTCTCGACGTTCACTTCGTTTGACTTTCCGATGTCAGGTCACACGTGCACAGACTGAAAGCAATCACATGCCCAGCCGCGGCCGTTTTCATCCCCAAGTGCAGTTACTCACGATAAATGTCGAGCTCCCTCGTCATCTGTACCCGCTCTCACTCAAGATGTCAGCGCGCTTGAACCGCCATAAAGACTGGCATCAAGGCCGCAGTCCTTGCTATGAAAACAGTATGAAGCTCGAACCGTCTCCAAGTAGCGGCATCTCATCGAATCGAATGGCATAGGCTCCCGTCATGCAACGAAATTTTGACGAAGCGCTTGCCGCCCTAAGTGTGCTGGCAGCATGAGGTCCAATAGCGGGGGCATCGAGCACGACCTGCATGGCCCGTGTGCGGGCAGCAGCAGTCACCGCGAACGAAAACGAGTGAAGTGTTGAGGAGCAGTGTCCATAGGTCGACGGTTGGCCTGGTCCAGACAATTCTTCTGGTGATTGACCTACTCCATTGGTTCAGAGCGCAACCTTTGTGGTTGGCGACGGGCACGACCATCAGTGTTTGTAGCGTATGAGCGTCGCATGGCGCGAGCGCCACGCAATTGGCACAGTCAGAATTTGGTGAGGCGACAATTCACGAAGCCTGGCTTCAGCCCAGGTCGCCACAGAATAGGTTCATCACAGAAAAATCACAGTTCTTGTCTTGTGTAGTGTGATTTCGCAGAGACATCTAACGTCCGTTCCGACTGCTCTTGATCGTGTGCTCAAGCTTGCCCGCACATACGTGCATCATCGTGTCAGTCAAGCAGACACATGTCATCAGGACACTATGAGTCATGAGCCCTCGACATGCTCGTTGTTCCACTCGGTAGTACGTTCAGAACAGTTGGCTGACAGCAGTCATGCCTCCCCGAGTGCATACAACAATGACCTGGTGCAGCGGCGTCTGCAAGTGTCCAGCACCCAAAGTGCCTCCCGTCCAGGGATTTGTGATCCCTTCGGTCGAGCATCAGGCCAAGCATTGGCGATTTCGCGTTACAGTAGCCGTACTGTGATGCAGCATGCCCATACTTTGTCAGGCAGCAGCTCTACTGGCTTGGCCGGGCTTGCAGAGGCCAGAGCAACGGAAAAAAAGAGTGTGCAAATAGAACAGCGGCTAACAGGGATGCGAAGCTGTGGCCGGCAGGCATGCGTCACCAGTCACGTGCCCGCTCTGGAGGCCGCGTCTCGGTCTCAGCCCTCTCAACTTTTGAGCAGCGCCATCAGGGTAGAGCCCAGGCTTTACTGAATTGACTTCCACATCCACTTAGGCGGCCAGTTGCGCTGGAGGCCACAAACTTGTTCTGTTTGCGGGTGATCGGGAATCTTGCTTCTTGTTTCAGCAAACTCGTCGTCGCCAGGACCCCGCAGTTGGTGACGGTGACATTCCAAAGCCTGTCATCCTTGAAGACCTCACCTTAATGGAAGCCGAAAATCTGCTGAGTGATTTGCCGGCTCTTGATGCGGCGAATGGCAGCAGTCAGGCAAATCACCTTCCAGCACCGGCCGACTTCACGACCCCAAAAAGAGGAAGGCGGGATGTGGCACCCTGACAGCTCCCCGTTTGAGCCATCTGATCTCAGGCTTTCCAATGCGACAGCGCCGCCTTCGCCGCATGATATCTCGGAGGCTTTGAATACATAGACCGTTAGATGTGATAGACATGTATGTCATATGAGCACACAGTGGAAGCTGTAAAAGTTGGAACATGATGGTCCGAGTCGGCGCAGGGGATCCTAGCGGAGTTCATTGCACCACTAATGAGTGCGCTAATGTCTGCTGGACCAAAGAGTCTGGGTTTGCGGCTGTAGTTACTCTTGTTGCTCAGATCCCTCACCTGACGCTGTCGAGTACGAGTGACAACAAGCAAGTTCATGAACACGTACTAAGTGTGTAACATAAACAAGTAAGCAAACAGCTGAGTGTCAATACACTCTGTGTGTGTTTGCATATATATATATATGTGTGTGTGTGTGTTTGTATATGTGTATATACATGTATATACACATACATATACTGGCTTTTCAGATGCGGCAGAATGTGTGTGATGCCTTCGCGGTGGGTTGGCGCATATGCTCTCACCCAGGAGTGGGATGACTCGGATGACGAGCACACGGAGGTTCAACACATTTTTCCTATGCTGTCACATGCGTGGACATGGTTCACATGCATCGTCTGTGAGAAGATTAGTTCGTTCAGCTATGGGCTCGCATGCCTTGTGCCTTGATGCTGGCTGTATGATCCCAAGTTGCTCGTGTTGAAAGAAGTCACCTTGCAGTTCCTGTCGTCTGACCTTCGTATTTCGATTCGAAACACCCCCATGCTTGATTAAAGATCCCTTGCTTTATTCTGCTTGATGCTATGCACATGAGCTTAGACAAACTCGTGGTGCGTCGCCAGCAAGCAGTATAGGCTTGGTCGTTGCCGACTCTGTCTAGCTCATGTTCGCCTGCTTAGCAACTGATCTTCTCGATAATTTTTAAGTCGTGCTTCGCATAATACGGGAGCCGGTGGATATCAGGTTCAATCCCCGACTCTCTCCCTCGAGGTGCTGTTTCCGCCACTCGTCCTGACTTCTTGGCTTTGCAGCTTTGGAACTTACATAGCACTTGTCAATGCACCGCGAAGTGTTTATGATGGTTCAACCAACCTTGCTCGAAGCAGATGTTGCATTCAAGGCTTCCGGACGTGCTCTCCAGACATCTCGGAGTGGCTTTGCTGATAGCAATCATTGGTTCAGATCTCTTCGGTGGCTAACTGTGAAGGCTGCGAGGGTGCCCCTTCCCGGTGAGCCAGTGCTTCACTACGTGCTGTTTGCCGAGACTTTCGTGACAAAATGCCTCAAGAGGCAGCTGCGCACAAACAATTCTGCCTCCGTGCGTTGAGCGTCTGCAGTCGGGCCGCATCACTGCCTACTTCAGGTGTTCTTGGAGTATTCCATGAACTTGATGCAGCTCTCCAAGCAAGCGTCCTAGTGAACTACACGAGATTTCAGGGAATTGTTTGCATGAATTACAGCGCAAAGGCCTTGCATCTTCGTGGTCACTGGAAGCTGGTGCAAGGCCGTCACCACCAGCGATGGCGACGAGCTGCCGCCATTCGACACAGGTACGACGGCATCAAAAAAGAGGTGGTTCTCTTTTCCGGGCCATGGCCACGACCTCCTAGAGGGGGTTCTGTAAGGATTGTACACTATGATGGGGCTACCAGGCTTCATGGAAGGAGTTTTGACCATGGCTCATTTGTTCGCCCAGCTTAGCCATGTACTGCAGTGTGAGACGATGCTTGCAGGACTGTGGTGTTTCTTCAAGGGCATCAATGCTTGGCACAGAACCTGGCCCAACGCCTTGTTGGTAGTGGCACGGGAGCTACGCGAACACTGCCTGCACCCTGAAGAGAGTATCTCCAAGAATGCTCAATGGACAATGGCAGTTTTGGCTGGACACTGTTTTCACACAGCACAAAGTAAAGGCGTTCGACATTTTGGACATGTTGTACTGGTTGCGACACGCGGATGACGAAGTCCGCGTCCAAATCTGTCGGGCTTTTAGCAAGTGAACACCTGCATTGCTGGGGAGGTTCAACATTGCCTGTGCACAAGCACTTGCAGAAGCATGTGGGGCCGACAGCAGTGAAGCTTGCCGGAGCAGTGCATTGCAGGCATTGAAGCTGTTTGCTGAGATGGACACAACGTTGTTGCAAGCCTTTTTTCTGCATACCGGGCTCGAAGAGGCTTGTACCGTAAAGACATCTATCGGGAGCTTTGGCATGCTTCAATGGACATCGTGAGCAACTCCATTGCCCTGACTGTATCGAGTTTTTCCAGCTTCCAGCAGCTTGTTAGCGATCCTTTTCTTACATGCGCAAGGGTGGAGGTTGTTGAGCCCACAGTAATGCTGCCAGCCTTCTCTTCCTAGCCCGGGCTGGTGTTTGCCTCAGCTCTGGACGACGCTGTGTGACGACACTCTAGTTCTTGCCATGGGAAGCAGTTTCTCGAGCATCCGATGCAGCACGCCATCACCGTCACGGGAAGATCGAGGGGAATGAAGGTCTGTGCGAACGTTCCGGAGATCCGGCTGGGGTCCAGCAAGTCTGTCTCCGAATTTGGCGATTCAGCTGCGCAGCTGGACGCCCACTCTTCACGCACTTGGTCCCTGTGAAAGATGCATCATGGCCAATGCGGGTCGGCCATCTCGATGCCGCGACGCTCTTGTAACTGCATCGTGCTTCTGATTAACAAGCATCAGTTTGGCATGCGCTTTGGAGGAAAACTCGGGTCCTTGGACACCAGGTGCCGCCAAGCCAGCATTTCCTCCATGCATTTCCAAACGGCAGCAATACCATGTCTTTTTCTGGACATGCCTACGTGACGACCCGAAGCACTGACCAGGGCACCGCATCCCCTGCCGCGAGGACCTGGAGATGCGAGGGCAGAGTTTGAGGTGCAGGGTGGAGGAGTTTGGGTCAAAGATATAGGTGCCGGACCCCTTTCTTCGTGTTTCAAGAACTGGTGGTTGCACCGCACTTCTTTCTTGGGACGTTTGAAAGTTTTTGCAAGCACCTGCACCTTGCGATCAGTGCCAATGACGCCCCTCTATTTTCAGGCTTGTAGTTGCGATGCCCAATATCAGAAGCACCTTCTCCTTTCGGTTGTGATCTTTTGGAACACAGAAATTGAGAAACATGTGCATTACGCACAATCTCACGTGGCTTATTGCGGCTACGTCACTTGCCACACCGATGATAACGGCGACGGTGGCGGCAGCACGTGTCATAAGATGATGGACACCGACGCATAGAAGTGGCAGGGAAGCACCAACGAGGAGTGCTGCATACCGAGGTACAGCAGTCAGTATACCACCTCCACACCCTCACAGTGGAAGAGGAAGCCACAGCAAAACGCCAGCGCAGCACGGATGTGGAGTGCTATGGCTACTGCCGACCCGGAAGCACGGATGCAGAGCGCAGGGTGCTGCACTCATGGCAGCGAAGCCGAAGACCTGCCCGACCTGCATACCAAGAAAGTGCGCTGAGGCACCTGACCATTAGCCACGGCATCCGGCTAGCAGCCAGAGGGAATCCGGCTTGTCCTCCAGCTCGGACTTTCTGCCTTTCCTTGGCTTTGCTTGCGAGTGCACAGAGTCGGAGTGCTGCGCAGCATATGCAAGCAATTGGGTGGCAGAGGAAAGGAAAAAGCTGTGAGATCTTATGGTGACAGCCTGCCGCCTCAACGCTCCGTGGAAGTCCGAACAATAGCAACAAGAGGACGAGAAGAGCATAGAAGAGCAGCAGAGACACGGAGAGACATGACAAGAGCAAGAAAGGGGCAACAAAGCAACGAGCAAAAAGCAGCAATAAGCAGAGAACTAGCGTCAGCAGAAGAAACAGTATAGCAGGTGCAGGGGTAGTAAGAATAGCCACAAAAGCCACGAGAACAGACCCAATCGTCTTCATTATCAAGGTAATCTCGACGCTAGCCATCACGAAATGCTAAATTCAAAATGCTGGGCATAACGCGGACCTGCTCTGTTTAGACTTGATGCATCATGTTCACAGTACTTCTTTGCGTACCAGCCCTGCCTGAATGAAGACAGTGCAACACAAGTTGTGTGACCTCAACCTGGATTCGTGTAATTGACCTGGGCAGAGTAGCCGGATTCAGCAAATAGCCGCAACATTCAGCAAAGGGAGTCAGAAAACAGATGGCCACTGTCAGAAACAAGGAGGCCTCGAGTCAGAAACAACCATGACAGCCAAAAACAGCCGGGCCAGGGTCAGCAAACAAGCTGGCGCCCCCCCGTTTGGCGATAAACAACTGGAATAAAAGAACAATTAACATAAAACCATAGACGCCAGTTTAATATTCTGATTTATCATGTATATGTATTTTAGTCACGTCCCCTCATCTGGCGATTTTGGTTCATCACATATCTTAAACACGCCCCCTCGTGTGGCGATTCCTGCTTCGTCACATATATTAAACACGCTCCCTTGTATGGCCATTCCGGTCCGTCACAGATTTTAAACATGCCCCCCTCATTTGGCGATTGCGGTTCACCATATATCTTAAATTACAGTAGAAGCCGAAAAGTTGGAAACCCCATAGCCTCAATCCTTTAGAGTAATGTAAAGGGAATCCCAGCACTATTTGGCCTTAATCCGGTTTCCAACTTTATGGGGCTTACTGTAAGCACGCCCCCCTCATTTGGCGGTTCCGCTTCATCATAAATCTGAAACACACCCCCGAATGTGGCGATTCCGGTTCATCATATGTTAAACATGCCCCCTCAGTTGGCTATTCCGGTTGATTTGATATCTTACACACGCCCCCTCGTGTGGCGTGTCCGCTCCCTTATATGGCGATTCTGGTTCATCATATGTCTTGTCCTAAATATGCCCACCTATTCGGCGATTCCGATTCATCATATCTCTTACACAGGTTCAGGTCCGGTTCATCGCATATCCCAAAAAGGCCTCTAGATTTGGCGATTCCGATTCATCGTAGATCTTAAAATATCTTAAACACAGGCGCTCATTTGGGGGTTCCGGTTCATCATGGTTCATCACATATCTTAAACACGCCCCCTCGCCCTCTCATTTGGCGATTGCGGTCATATATCTTAAGCACGCCCCCCTCGTGTGATGATTTCGGATCGTCATATATCGTTTAACGCACCCGAATGTGGCGATTGCGGTTCATCACATATCTGAAACACGCCCGCTCATGGGGCGATTCCGATCGGCCTTTGGCAGGAAAGCGTCTCGCTCGTTTCGCTGCCCTTGGCAAAAAGACTGGCGTCGATCTTGATGTTTGCAATTTCTGGCGGTGGTGCCTCCGATAGTGGCCTTGAGTGTTTCTGATCGTGTCTGTGGTGTTCGTGACTTGTGTCCGGGTTGTTTGCTGACCGTGGTGCTGTTTTTGACTTTGTTTGCGGACTCCGGCCCTGCCCTTGCGGCACCGCTGCCATTGCCTTCACGAGGAAACCCTAAAGTCATCCTAGAGTTACCTCAGCAAGGTGCTTGATGAAGCGAGCTGCGTTCGGTCTTCTTGTTTGGGTATCCTGCTTTGATCCCCCACTGTCTCCTTTTCCATGATTCAAATGCAGGCATTGAGCGGTTTTCTGTGTTGTTGCTCGGGCTTGTTCCTGCAGTGGATGAGACGAGGCCCAATTCAAGTCGGACTGAGAATCCAAGCCGTGTATGGACAGTTCAAGCTTAGATTTGTTATTTCACACGAGATGAAAAATCATAGATCGCATGTCTTGTCCGGCCTTAATGTGGCTTGGGCCTGGTGCTTGTTACTTGCAGTCGGTAGATTCAGCTGGGCAACTTATCAGCCTGCCACCTAAAGCCGTACCAGGACCGTATGGGCAGTCGGCGGTTTTGAGTTGCGCCTAGCATTGCTACATTCGGACTGGAGTCTGCGCAGTCAGCCGCCTTGGCTGTGAAGTTCCAAACGAGGCACCTGGTATGAAGTCGCAGCAACCACATGAGTGCATCGCAAATGAGCACGAGGTTCAAGTCGGAAAGTACTACATGGATTGTCTACTTTATTGAGACCGACATGAGCAGACAAGAACAGGATCCAGCAGAAACTCTCGCCGCCATGTTCTTCTCCTGGGGACATGAAGGCTTGGCCTGCATGCGTCCGACAGACAGCCTGCCCAAACCCGCAAGAAATACTGTTCAACTGGTCATACTTGTAGCATTTAGATGGGGTTTGACGTCGTGGTAGTGGTCGGAGGCTGTCATGCGCCATGACGCTATGAGGTGACTTCGCCGCCATCGTCCTGAACCGTCGTGTGGCGTTGAGGGTTTGGCACAACTGTCCCTCTTGTTCGAGCTTGCAGCGGTTCGCAATGGTTGGCAAAGCAAAGCCGCTGTCCTCCAAGCCCGTTTGCACATCATGCAGTGGGCAGTCCGATATCTTTCGAACAGGCTCATACATTTTGGGTTTGAGTGCATGGGCATGGCAGCCGCCCAGGGCTTGAAACTGTGACGGACATTTCCGGCTGTGTCTAATCCTTACAGAGTGCCAGTCTGCAGATGCTGGAAGAGTGCAGCGATTACTGCTCATCGGTTCAAGCTCGCGTCATGCTGGATCACTCAGAAAGAATAGCCCGCACAAAATGCTAGTGACCATTATCGTGCCCGGTTTTGTGGCTCAGCGACATAACTGCCGGATGCAAAACACGAGAGTGATACAAGGTTCCCGGACTGGCGTCTTGTTCTTGTTTACGCCTATGGTGGTGAGAAATGGCCGTTCGCTTGGTGTCAAACGTGCTAGCCCCAGAATGCCTTCGGTCATCCGAACCGAGTGAGCACGAGAGATGTGGCGAAAATTCAGGTGCAGATGTCTTCAATGCCGTCGATACAAGGCTGTCCGCGCCTGTTGCAGGACCAAAAGACACCCATGGGTTTAGCCAGTCTAGCTTAATTAGTCGAGCCGCGTGGACGAGCGCCAACCACGGGTCATCAGATATTGGGCTCAAGTTTGACAAGACAGCATTCAGTTTCGCTCAGCGCTGGCCGTGCTCTTTGAAAAAGCTGTCAGTAGAACATGGACGGGACAGTTTAGGAAAACAGGTGTTAGTGGTGGGCACCACAGTTTCAGCTGCGAAAGCCATGCCGCCCAAAGATGCCAAAAAGAAGAAGACGCCATCCTCGCCCAAGCTGTCGGCCAAGACTTCGCCGACCCTGAAGCCCAAAGCATCTCCGAAGATCGGTCCCAAATCCCACCCGAAGAAAAGGAAACATGACGATGACATTCAGGCGGAAGATCCGAAAGCTGCTGCAAAAAAGAAGAAGGCAGCAGCGGATAGTCAGGACTCGCCATCATCCCTTGCTGTTTGTAAAGTTTCTGATATCAAAGATATATCAGAAGCAAGCCGTGCGGCACTGCTCACAAAAAGCATCACGATGTTGTTCGAGATACAGCAGAAGGCTTTCAGCCCATGCTTCAAAGGTCTAGATGTGGTTGGCCGTGCCAAAACCGGATGTGGCAAGACTTTGGCATTCGTGTTGCCGGTGGTGGAACGGCTTCGTGACTTTTCCAAGTCAGCTTGCAAGAAGGCGCCTTTGTGCACAACTATCGCGCCAACCCGCGAGCTTGCTAGACAGATCTTTAACGACTTTGAGCTTTTGGGCAAAGCATCCGGCCTCGTTGTGAAGTGCTTCTACGGCGGATACTTGCCAGTCAAGTGACAATCCTAAGCTCCTAAAGGCTTTCGTATCGCTGCGGGGGCTCATTAGGTAGAGTTCTTTCCAGGCTCGGGTAGCTCTGAGAAGTGTCAACTTGCACCAAGGAACGCCTTTCGGGCCACAGTGTGAGGATCTCCGCAACGGCGTCCATGTGCTTGTTTGCACACCTGGACGGCTGCTCGACCATGTTCGCCGCAGCAGCGTCAGCTTGTCAAACTGCAAGACGTTGATACTGGATGAAGCAGACGAGATGTTGTCGATGGGGTTTCAGGAAGACATAGACGCCATTCTGGAAGCATTGCCCAAGACGGATTGTCAGAAGCTGCTCTTTTCGGCGACACTGCCAACATGGGTCAATGCAATCGTTGAGAAGCATTTGACCACCCCCACATGGATTGATGTAGCAAACGACCCACAGGGCAACAAAACCAACAGCTTGATCAAGCATCAATGCGTGCAGTGTGCGCCTGCTCTAAAGGGTGACTGCATCGGTGACCTTTGCAAGATCCATGCCGGAGCATTCGGGAAGACGATTGTCTTCGTGAACACCAAGAAGGAATGCGACGAGCTTGCGGGAAATGACAAGCTGCAAGCCATTGGTGCCGGAGTTTTACATGGTGATATCCCTCAGCATGCCCGTGAGAAGACGATGGACGGATTTCGATCGGGCAAAATCCGATGTCTAGTAGCTACGGATGTGGCTGCGAGAGGCATAGATGTCCCTGCTGTGGATCTGGTTGTTCAGACGCGGCCCCCTCAAGACTTCGAGGCTTACGTGCACCGCTCAGGCCGTACCGGCCGAGCAGGCAGGAAAGGTACCTCTGTGACTTTCTATTCAAGGAATGAGGAGTATCTAATCAAGCTCATTGAACACAAGAAGGGGATCAAGATGCAACGGGTGGGGCCACCACAAGCCAGAGATGTGGTGGCCGCCGCCGCGGAGGATGCCGTGCGTCAAATCGACACTGTCCATCAGGCCAGCGTGGAGGCATTCACAGACAAGGCCCGAGAGTTGATAGAAGAACGTGGTGCCGAAGTGGCTTTGGCAGCGTCGATGGCAGCACTCACCGGCCATTTTCGTGAACTCAAGGGCCGCTCGCTTCTTTCGTCGTATGAGGGCCAGACGGCCCTTCTCTTGCAGTCTGAGCGAATCATCGAGACTGATTCCAAGGGCTGGTATCTCCTGCGGCAGATGCTGCCTCGAGAGGTGGCAGAAGCTTGCCGTGGATGCAAGCGATGCAAGGACGAGAAGATGTGCATCTTCGACGCTCCGGATCACATCGTGCCCATGATTCTGGAGGCTACTCTGTGGAAGGGCAACACTATCTCAGTGGCCCGGGAACTGCCAGAGCTTCTTGAGGCAGAGACCGATATCTACGAGGCGAACCAAAGGCTCAAGGAGTCAAAGCAGCGCTTCTGGGAGCGGAGGAAGGGCGGTGGCAAGGATGGACGCGGTGGTGGAGGCGGAGGCCGTGGGCGAGGAGACGGCGGTGGCAGGGGCGGCAAAGGTGGAAAAGGTGGCCAAAGTCACGGAGCCGGACGTGGCAAGGGGCAATCCGGACGGGGAGGACGCGGACGAGGGACCTCGTAGTGGTGCGCCTTAGTGTCGTGCGCTTGTGTTCATCTGTCCATAGTTCAGTGTCTACAAGTACCGCCTTCGCTGCCTTTGCTTGTTCGTAACGCGTTTTCAACATCAAAGTGCCTGCAATAAGCCGCATGGCCTGAGACTGTTATACAGCCTTCAGCCTTGTGCATTCTGCCAGATGTACATTGCATACGCGAGCATGCCCGGTGCAGCAAAAACAAGATGCAACCCGTCTTGCCCAGTTGGGTCCAGAAAATCATCGGTTCATTGAAGCGCCGGAGCCAGGTGCATCGAGCCCGCTGAGAACGCCAGATTCAATACAGCAGAACTCGAGATCTTCGCTGCTCATCCAGGCCAGTCACCAGCTCAGCGTTGCTTGCAGAGGCGATCTAAACCTGCAGCACTTTGCCTGCTGGAGCGCCGCTTTGATCTCGGTGGCTAGCTTAAGTCTACGAGTTGGCTTCAGGACGGTTGTGAATGTGATTGGTTTCGGTGGAGCTTAGTACTGCTGATGGGAACTCCATTTTTGGCTTCCGACATCATTTCGTCATACTAAGCCTCCTTTGACCCGGGGACCGTAAACATACCACACACCCAAGCCGTACTAAGCCCAAACCCGCCTGGACTGAACCCTCAAGCTGCCCCAAAGCTAGAAAACCCTAGGCCCTAGGCCCTGCTTGAAGAGGAGATGCAGAACGAGGAGGGAGACCTCCAACAGCAGATTCTGGCCCAGGGCTGTCGATCGAACGACCCCGAGGCCCGAAAAAGCGGTGTGATTTGTTTAAAAAAGTTTTTGGGGGTACAACAAGGGGCCCTATAATGCAAGGGGTGCAAGACGGGTGCTACAACGGACCAGAGGGGGTACTAAGAGCGTGGGGTTTATGGTTTTGGTGCTTTTTGTATGTGTATGTATGTATGCTTAGATGCAGGTGTATGTCGCTCCGGTCGGTCGCGTTTTGAGCTCAGGCTTAGAATTTGAACAGTTGCGGCCAGTGCCTGCTCAAGCCATTTCCAGCCGGAGCACTTAAATCAGAGAAAACATTCACAAACCATTCGACAAGCAAAGCTTCGCCGCTCGACCTGTGTGTGGAAGCAAAGCACACCCATACATAAGTCGCCAAGTCGAACAAGCTGTCATATGACATCCACACAAACTGGCACCCAAACGGAGCAAGGTGTCAAAATTGTGCCGAGGGTCGTGCAGACTTGAAGCGCAAACGATTTTAGCGAACGCGAAGCCCACAACAAGATCAGTTGACAGAAGCATTTTCAAGCTGAGCATGATGCAGGGTGCCAAATACATCACACGCACACGTACACACACGCGCACAAGTTGATGTCTATGCGTATGTGTGTACGTATGCATGCATGGATGCATTTATGTATATATATATATACAGATCGACAGATGGATTGGCAAACAGTCAAGCTTACTGAGCCGCAGCAGTTGCAAGATCCGGCTAGTCACCAAGTGTTGACAGACAGCAAGCCGTTTGTCGCCTGGCAGGACCGAGGATACGAACCGTCGACAGTCCCCAGAGGGTGGGCTGTGTGCACGGTATCGGTAGGTTTGGGCATCCAGTGGGAGATTCTGCTCTTTTATGGCAGGGACTTTGTGCGAACTGTGTCATATCAGATTTCGCAGCTGTTGGATCATGTTGAGAGCGGCCACCACCTTTCAATTCAAGATGCCATTGACCCTTCAGTCGCTCGCAAGCCCAACCAGCTGTAAGAAGGCATTGCCAGCCTTATGCACTGAGAGCGCATGCAGCTTGTGCTTGTTAGCTTCCATGCCATGGTAGATTCCGGCGGCTAGCCATGGCAGTCTCCCTGTCCGTGGAAACGCTGAACTGGCATTGCCCACCATGGGGTGGGTTGGTCCATGGTCCATCATATGACCGGCAGGCCAAAAGCCTTCAGCAGTACTTTAAGGTGGGAGAGATGGTGCAGCCGATGCAGCACAGTTGTGTGCCAGGCAGTCACGCCAGGGATTGTCCACATTGGCCTTACAGAGTTCCACCGAGCTCACCAAGCCCACTTCATTGACGAGTTTCTATCATCTGGACAGGCTGTGCAATTTGACATACCTTTGCACGCGAGAAAGATGGTCTTGGATGTCTTTCGTCACTCGGCAGGTGGACTGCCTGTCCTGGGGCATTTCAGGAGTCAGTTTCGCCGAGGATCAGCACCTCCATCATGCGTCTCTTGGCCAGACATCAGGGTCCGAGGCACTTGCAGAAGTCCACTTCTCGTCTAAGCCAGGATGGAGGAGCAAAGCGGCATGTATGTCCTTTGCACCCGAAATGCACAGGAGCGGCTTGCATGCCCAGCTCGGATGATTGTGTGTGTGTGTGTCCTTGCATGCTACAGTTGCTCGGGCGGCTTTTCGGTGCAGGAGCCGATGGCACGCATCATCGGAGCTTACTGCGAGCATCTCTCTGCACCGGGGCACCATGCCGCGATACTCGATCGGCATCTTGTCGGCGTATCAGTGGAGACGTTTCCGCATCTACCATACTGTGCACATTTTGTATGAAACGAAGGCTCCAAGCCGACAGCACCAAGATCATCAGCATATGCTTCAGAAAAAGCGATTCTCTGGATGATGCCGGAGCTCTGGATGATTCGTCGGAAGACATTCAATCGGATCTGGGAGCTCTTAGAAGAAACTCGACGAACATGCGGTATGTAAAAAAATGAAACTAGGCAGGAACACTGTGCCCCAATCCTGCGGAGACATCTGAGACGAAGTTGCCTTAGCGCTGCAGGCATACTCGCGTGCACTGATGCGGAGTCGCTGTCATCGACCGTCCCGCTCAAGACGGCCGCTGCCTACCTAGTCGCAGCTGCAGCGTTGCGCAAGAAGCGTGATGCTCCACCTGTGGCTGTGCACCTCGGACAGCCCGCAGGTTCTGCGAACTTGAGCACAGGTAGTCGTAGGTTGCTGCGGCGTGTGACCTAAGGCTCAGCTGTGACGCAGTGCCACGGAATGGGGAGCGATGCGCTTCTGCGGTAGCTTCACTGGCACAGCAGACCGGCGGTGATGAGCTCATGCAGTGACCTGGTTGCTGAAGTGGTACTCGGGTCAATGTGCCGGAGTCTCAGTTCCTGCGTGATGCCATGCTTGTCACGCGCTTTGTGTGCAAGGTATATCCAGGAAAAATGGCGATTTCCCAGCTCGGTCTGCAGCCTCACTGCATCATTTAATGGGCATAGATCGTAGGATGGCGCTGTGTCATGCCAATTGGGTGGGTGCTTTTCTCGCATCTCTGCTTGCGCTCGGCGGAGCCTGCGGCAAAATAAAGTATCACGAGGTGATCGCATCGTGTACAGATTGACGCCCACCGTACTGCAGGACCTTCTTGCGGCTTTTGTCCTATGTTGTTGAGATGCTGCAAGATTGACTGAGGTTAGGTCAGGGGGATGCACAGACTTCCCATGGTGTGTACTCTAGATGTCAGGACCTTCACCGAGCATCCGGTGTGGCCGACAAAGGGCCGGTTGCTTGCGAAGACTTCGTGCGATGGGTTGTGGAGGCAGTGCTGCCCCCCCCCCCCCCCCCCCCGCCCCAAACTTGCGCAAACCCTAGCAAGGTCTTGGTCCAAGGCGAGAGTGCCGGAAACTTCTGGAGACCCTTGCAGGACCAATTTCCGAGCGGTCGGCCTGCCTGGGAATCGGTGCTTGGAGATGCCTGCGTCTTCGTCGAGGATGCTCAGCCATTTTCGGACTTGCACCTGAAGGTCTTCGAAGGCGCGAGGGGGGGGGGATTTTTGGAGTCTAGCCCTTGGATTTTCAAGAGGACCTTTGTAGAGAAGGCGTCCACCCTTCCCCCTCAGGCGCTCGGCAGCTCATCACCTACGCTGGGATCTTGTTGGGCTACCGGCGAATCAATGAAGCCATTGAGGAGCCGGTGATTGTGGAATTCGTGAAGAGATACTGGGCAGCCCCCCAGCCGGCAATGATGTTAACATGGATTCATGGGCTTCGGGTGTGGGGGTTTGAGCTGTCATGTGTGATCTGCAAAGGTGGTTCTGGCGCATGCGGTGGCCCCTTCCGAGAAAGCGGATGGGCAAGCCTACCAGGCCATGGGTTTCCTAGCGCCACGCTGATGCCCGTCGGATGCACGTAAACACAGCGTCTGCTCCCACTGCCACCTATGCTCCTGCCACCGCAGCCGCCACCACCGCCACAGTAACAACAGCAGGAAACAGTGAGGAGGGGAGGGAGGGGTGAGTAGTACAATGGATCCTATCTAGCCGCGTTTTGTTTTGCCATCGCCAATCCGAAGACGTAGTAGAGGAGCCTAGGCCTAGGTCTCAGCGCACATCTCATGATGTGGCATTGCACTTTGAACGCCGAACTCCTGCTCAGCCCCGAAATTGGTCATGCCGACCGGGCACTAGGCCATTGAGGGCAAGAGCTCGTTCTCAAGAGCCAGCTTCAGAACCGACAGGCTGAGATTTTTCAGCGACTCTCACAGAGTGACGAAGAGCTGCTCACCCTGGCGGAGGAGGGATGCCAAAACATTTGCAGCTTCTGCGGCTGAGACTCATGAAGTGCGTAGTCTCGTTTCGCCTTCGAAAGTGTAGTTACTTCTCGCCAGCAAAGCAACGGTGCAGTAAGGCATGAGCATTATTCCTGGCCTACCGCCGATGGACACGCCAACCATCAAGCCAATTGTTCAGCTTCTATGCCTATGGGTGCGGTACATCATCGATTCCGCCGACGAGACAGAGAAGTAACTTAGTTGCAAGTCAGAGCAAGCAAGAAATCTCATCAGCAGACATGGCATTAGAAGACCGAGGCCATACGTCCATGCTGCAGATGGAAGGCAGGCGAGTTCTGTGGTTTTCACTTATTGTGGCATCTTGTGTTCTGAGCCCTTCGAAGCCTTGACTATGAGGGGGGAAGGCAGTCGAGACAAGTGGAGGTAAGACTAAGACTGTCACGTGGTTCTACACCTCGGAACTGCGCGGGATGTCGCGTGAAGTACTGCATCGTAGTTGGATGCAGTGTGACATGAGAAGGGCATCAGCGCAGTGCTTGCCAAAGCCTGGGTGCAGCTGCCCGCTTTGTTCGCTCAAGAGAAGCGAGTTGACGGCATAGCCCCTGCGGCTTTCGGCATCGATGTCAGCCTTTGTTTCGCTCCAGGCTTGAAGTGCTGCAGCCGTTGGCAGAGAGCTTGTGGCACAATGCTGTGAAATCCATCAAGGGCGAGAAGGGTGAGACGATCCGGAAGCTACTCGGAACCGTTCAGTCGCGCACTCCTCGCGGGCCATGTTTGATGCATAAGGCAACCTCCAAGAGAAGAGACGAAAGCTTTCGTAACTGCAGCCTTCCCTTCTGTGAACTTGGGCGCGACGGTGCTGGTGGAGGCGGCTTCTTCGGATGCGCTTGTTGCTGTGTGCCGTAGGTGGCTATCGCACATGTGTCCGAAAGTGTCCTGACACGGTGCTGCTGCGAAGCAGCCCCAGCTGAAACCCCCCGTTGCTCCGCGGAGGTGATGGCAAGCCAGCTTATCGCCTGCCGGGCCAACGGCGCCACTCGGTCAAAGGATGTCAGAAGTGGTTGCAAATCCAGAGACAACGCTGGGTCCGTTTTCTGGAATCCACCTTGTAGGGGCCCTCTTGCCTCCAGCGCAGGATCCTTGCACAGAAGGATTAGAGACAGTCCCCTCCAGTCTTCGGGCCTCCAAAGAGACCCCAGTAAAGGCTAAAGGGGTGAGTGTGGAGGAACGGGCAGTGGGTTTTTCTGTTTCAGATCCAATCAAGGGTCCTTACATCAGGGTTCATCCTTGAGTCCTTCTAAGCGCAACAGCAAAGCGCCACGGCAAGTAAGAAGGTTAGATCGAATCTGCTTCGTGAGGTGGCCAGCTTCTTGACGCCATCTGGCAAGTAGTCTGGCAAGTGCTTGGCCAATTAATGTGCTAGTGGCAATCACGGCTGGACGCATGGATCGAAGCTCTGGCATAGGCCTGAATCAGCTGTCACTACCCAACACACATGAACTAATGTTCTTTGGTCATGCAGCCTCGACACTGATGTATTTTAGTAATTAGGGTTTTGGCCCCCCCCCCCCCCCCCTCAAAACTTTGATCCCGTCTCGTGCTTTGCTGAGGGCTTCGGCCTCGTAGGATAATGACTCGCCCCGGAGGGGCTCAGAGAAAGCTTGGTCGGTGAGTCGGTGAGCTGCCAAGCAGCAAAAGGACCGATTTATGCGCGGTGGCCGCGTAACAGTTCTTGTTAGGACTTTAGGCTGGGGCATACGCCCGAACGGCTGCAGTGACGGCCTTGCGAAGCAGGCCAGCATGCATTGTCGATGTCTCTCCTCACCGGGCAGAGACCTTCGAAGCAAGTTCTCGCAGAACCGCATATGTACGTGTCGTGTCGCCGGAAGCTTCATCGTCATAGCCGGGAGCCTTCAGAGAATACAGCAAGCCAGGTGTACAGATGCCCTGTGGATCCTGCCTTTCCTGGTTTGTGCCGCCATCGCTGCTTATGCTGTCGGTTATGCCTGCCTCCCAGAGCAGCGATGGTTCATACCTGTAGCCGCTTGGAAATGCCTCTGCCCAGGCAGTCCAGCAGGGCGACCTTGACAACATTTTGCAGCGAGCTTTCTGGGAGCCGGCAGGAGCATTCTGATTCTGCAAGTACAAGATTCTGAGGCATCGAGTTTCAGGTTGTGGTGCTGTGCCCGAGGTCGTTGCCTGATTTGCACGGCAACCTCTGCGGTAGCGGCTTAAATCGGGTGCGCCGCAATGTCTTTCGAATTCTGGTGCCAGCCTGCATTCGCACGTAGCCGAAACGAGGAGTGATGTGTCGCTTGCGTTGTCTTGCGTTTCTGCTGCCGCACGAACGACCGCAAATGTCATGCAGGGCAAGCCATTCCTCTACTTCTGCATGCAGAAGGCAGCCACCTCTTTCCGCGTGGGATCTCTTGCGCTACCACATGCTGTTCAGGGTTGGTGCGAGTTACTTCCGCTTTTGCCAGAAATGGATGAACGCCATGTTGCTTCCACCCATTGCATTCGCAACAGACGGCAAAGGTGTCGTGCTTGTCTTCGCCATAACGGAAGTTACTGTGTCATACTCGCCAGTGTCGGTAAATTCTTTAAGCGATGCTGCACGATAACATCTGTCGACTGCGCATGGTGAGTGTGAGAGTCGAAAGGCTGGATTGCAACAGCTGCTCTGTCCAGGACAGCCAGCACATCATGGAGGGCAATCAGAAGAGGCTTTAGCGACATAGTTCTCTTCGTGCCTGCACTGTATGTCGCATACAACACTCCTCCGAGAGAGCTTGCAGCCGCATGAGCAGGCTGGACATGGCAAATCCCATTTGCGTTGGGCCTGGAGCCTAGCTCGGAGACAGGCCTGTGGCCGTATTTCATTCACCTTGGGGTAGTTTGGGGCTTGAAATTCGAGACAGTGCTAAGGTAGCATCTCAGAAGCTGCAAGCTATGGATCAAACTTGCACTAAAACACAGTGTTTGTGCTTCACCACCATCACCGGCACCAGCCGAATCGACAGCAGAATGACCACCAATAATGATCCGCATTCATCATTGCCGCCGCCACCGCCACCGCCACGACCGCCACCGCCACCGCCACCGCCACCGCGACCGCCGCCACCACCGCCGCCACCACCGCCACCACCACCACCACCACCACCACCATCACCACCACTGTCTCGGGATGGTGCACGTAGTGTGCGTCGCCATGCGCTCTTTGCCAAGCTCAGCGCTTAGTGACCAACCATTTGTCACAAGCAAATGTCTGACCACACGTCCCGTCACGCAGCCTGGATCTCCTTGGCGGCGTGTAAAACGAAACGAAACCCCCACCACAACGTCTACGAACACACCTTTTCACCGCATAGATGCTCACACGATGGATTCGCAGGGGGAAAGAGAACTGAGATAAGCACGAGCATGGGAAGTGCGAGTTACGAATGACCATGTCTTTGGTGCAGCTCAGTGGTGAATGTATTCTTGATTCAAGAACGTCGTTGCAAGGTTTATGAGGATTAATCAGCTTGCCGTAGTAAGTCGAAGTCGTCGTCGTGCCAGTGGCAGCAGTAGCCAGAGGTCGTAGGAGGAGGAGGAGTACAGTTGCAGTAGCAGGTAGCAGCAGGCCGCAGCAGTCGCAGCAGCCACCATGATTGAATCAAGACTAGGTAGAGGGTATCGTCTGCCCCACGTGGCTCGCCAAGGATCTGTCCGGGCACATACAACACAAGCAGCCGGTCCGAGCCACAGTGCCACAGCCGGCCTGCTTTTGCGCAGCACATTGAGAGGGCAAGCGGGCAGTGGTGTAACGACAGTGACTCAGAGACGCGTGGATTTGCTGAGGTGTTGGCTGCCGCTTCACGAAAGCTATGCGTGGGCATGCCTGCCGAGTTACGTGAATAACTGCGAGTCTCTACTGTGGAGGGCTTCTCCGCGAGTGCCAGGTGCAGGACTATCCAACTCAGCCGTGCGGAGCTGAGGCGGTCTTGGACATCTGTCCTTGGAGACGACTTAAATGCCGCACTTGCTTTGTTTTTTTACCGTTCGATGCATGTTTTCATTGTATCAATGCTGAGTAGTGCTGAGGTTCATTGGCCTCGTGTGCAGGCCGTCCATGGTCTACACCAAAGCTGTGTACGACCAGGCTCCCGGCCCACAGAAGTTCACCGTTGTCCACTGAATGTCAGGACAGCAAAGATTAGCGGGGCAGGACGTAGAATGTACGAGGTAGTCCAACGTCGCTCTTTGGATGCAGCTTTATTGGTTCGAGACTCTGGACAAGTTGCAGTATCAGTCATGCACATGATCACATGCGCACATGCGCGCTGACGGTTCAGTGCGACCACAGGTTGGGGAAGCAAACCGCAGAATGTGAGATCACAGTGAGTGTAACTCCGAGAAAATTCCGTCCTGTTCATGGATGCAGACTCTTCGCCGCATCTGTGCCTGGAGCACATTAGGCCACCAGCCGTGCATAGGAGAGCTACACCGCTATCAAGCAGAGTTGTGACCAGAGTCCCGAGAGCTTCTGGTGCTGTAAGCCTCTGCAGGCTGCCGTGAGCAGCATGAGTAGATTCGTCGCCGGATGCAGGCATCCTGAGTTTCGGTTTCACGGCCCGCGCCGACGTGGCCGTCCAGGACTTCGAAGCTCAGTGGCCCGGCAACGTGTGCCTGTGACGTGTTTCTTGTTTACAGCCAGAGCGAAGCAGACTCGCACAGACGAAGTATGAGGTGCTTCTCTTCTGGCGAAGCTGGTTCCGTAGATGCTCGTTTTCACGAGATGACTGCCACTGCAAGAGCAAGCCCTGCGCCGCAGAGTTTCAAGACGGTTTGCTAAGGATCGGTCGAACACGACAATTCGAGTTCTCGTGCAAGACGCTTTGCTTCAGGTTGAATGCATGCTGTGTCGTGGGATTATGTGTGTGGCATCTTCTCGCATTCCGTTTTTGCAGTGGTCGTGTGGCTTCAGTCATCTGCAGTCTATGCGATTGTCGTTGCGGAGGTTGATTTGTAGTGAATTCGTACATTGCATGTTGGCCGGTTGGGTTGCCACGATCACTCGTCAGGAGTGTACTACAGCTGCACGATGCATGTCCAACCGAAGTCACAAGTCCCGACCCGCTTCGAATGTGCTCTGGGTCCCCAGGGCTGTCTGTTTCCATTGAAGTCAGAATTGGAGGAATGTTGGATGCGTAGGGGTTGCTTGGCACTGCCTTCGTGATTCTTGGAGTTCGCGCCACATCGTAGCTGTGAGGATTGGACTTCCCATGAGCTCGTTTCCACAGTGGCGGCCTTCGTTCTGAAGGAATGGTTGGGCTACCGAGTGGAGCTCGTGCGTCTGACCGAGCACCTCGCCGTGAATGGCCAGGGGAGGGGAAGTCTGACTTGACGCTGAACCGAGGCCTTTTTCACAAGATGTCAATGTTCATCAAGCAGCACTAGACGCCCTGCGCAAAGGCAGCCCAGCTGTGAACAGTGGAGTGAGTTCAGTGCATGTTTCCGGGACACTTTCCGGCTTTGCAGGCGCATGGGATGTCGACGTGGAAAACTGGGTCCAAATACAGCCACAAGGGCTCCAGGACGAGCTGACTGCAAGCTCCGAGCCGTTTTCGCCGATTGGGTACAGTGGGCGTTCAGGCGCGAGGTCTGTGTGCAAACGTGAGCTGAGATCGATGAACATGTGATCGGTTTAGTCAGGCCTGTACATCTCGAACAGCACGGCCAACGATCATCGGTTTGCAGATTGGTGGAAGTTCTACCTTCAGTCTGACAGAGCACAATCAATGGGCTTCTCGGGAACAGACCAAGATGATCTCCGGAGAGTCCTCGGCTCTGACTTTCCATCTTGCGACTCGACTTCAAGCGATTTCAACGGCTAGGCCAGGGCCTGGCGGGTTTAGGGTTGAGGATGTTGCTTCGCTGCCATGGCATGCCATGGCCATGAGTGCTTGGAACCAAGGCACTCCTGAGCAGTTTCCCTGGTGCAGCCGCGAATTAGAAGGTTACTGGATTTCTCCTGCATGCCGGCAGAACGTCTCATCCTGCATACAAGTGCTGATGGGGCCGCCGCATTGGGATCAGGGCTACTTTGAGCAGGCCTGGTGAGTGCACACTCCCAAAAGGTAGGAGGCAAAAACCAAACCCCCAACCACTTGGGCTCGTCGCCATCGGGGACGGAACACACCCAGGCCTTGGTTGCAACACTCCTAAACGGCACAACCCGAGACCCCAATCCCTGGAACCTGCGAGACTGGGTATGGCGTCAGGATTTGGGAGTTTCCGCAAATAGGGGAGCCTAATATAGCACCCTAAATAGTAGGATCCTTCTTATAAGGACCCCAAAATAAGGTACCCTTGTTTTCGGAAACTCCCAAATTTAAGGAGCCCCGGT